CTAAATTTCAGGTGTCACAGCAAAGGGTCTGAAAACTCATGTCAACGTGATATTTCAGTTTTTCTTTTTTTTTTTTTATAAATTTGCAAAAATGTCTAAAATTCTTTTCTATTATAGGGTACTGAGTGGAGACTGCTGAGGGAAAAGTAGTGAAGGGGTCTGAATACTTTCTGAACGCACAATCTTTGCTTATGCATACAGTAAACATACAGATTTAATGTTGTCAACATCTGTTGAAAGTCAATACTCTGATCAAATAGTCAGATTTAACATTAACCACTTTCTGTTTGTTTGCGATTGTCGGCTCTTGCCTTTTTAATTACAGGGTAAATTTGCATGTCATATCTAGTGACTGTCAACAGTGGGGTTTGCCTTGGGTGCGCTTGTTGCATGTTTTTCTCAGATGGTCTCAGTAATACTGATGACGGCAATAGTGCATTGGGTATTCTTGTATTTATTATTCATTGTTATACTTTAGGCTCTTGATTTTTTCACTACTGTTTGGCAACTAAATTGGCTTTCAGGGACATAAAAGCGCCTCTCTATTCCACAATATGATATTATTTCAAGAGCTTTGTTTTAATATGAATAAATTATTTTGGATTTTTGTTTTCGAGTGCTGATTATGTCATTAAAAGAATACTTCATAAAAATTTCAAGTAAACATTATAAAAAGATGTGTTTTTGCTCAGTAAACCGGAATATTTGTGGAATTTATAAAATACAAACACAAAGACAAACATTAACATTAAATCCTCATGAAATCAACCAGATTTTATGTCTCCTCCAACTAGTCAAGGTGCAGGACACATGGTCACAATCTCCCTCTCTGTTCCTGAGTTAGAGCATTGAATAATGGCCAGAAATGTTTTTTGCAGAACGCTGAATGATGTCACGGTGAAGTTGACCGTTGACCGGTTATAAAATGATTAGTGTATGAATTCTTGCGTTATTTGTGAGTTCATCCTCGAGTCCAAGTGAACGTTTGTACCACATTTGAAGGTGGTCCCTCAAGGTGCTACGGAGGTATCACATTCAGGACAAACTGAAAACATAATGCCTCTTCTCCACAGCTGTCACTCGCACGGAGGCATAAAAATAACAAAGGCTCAACACGTAAGGGGCAGGTTGGAGTGGTTGAGGCAGCCACAGCTGCTAACAATGTTGCCATGAAGTAATCGGGGACAGGTGGACAGAGGACAGGTAAGGTCACATTATATTTCTGTCCTACAACATTGACCCCCCCCCCACACACACACACACACACACACACACATCATGGTAAAGGATGTGATGAATGTCTGATGCCGGTAATAAATTAACATTGATCAGAGCGATCACAAAAACACAAACAAACAAACAAAAAAAAAAACATGGATGGGAAGTGAATGGGAGAAGGAGTGAACATTCGTGGGACAGAAATGCAATGTGACCGTATCTTAATAGTACAAAGTGTCAGGTTATAATGGGCATGCTGCACAATCTCATGAATTTGATTGGAAGTTACTAGTCAGCTGATAGCCACAGCCGTAAGTGAGCCAATGATTGTGAAGCATGAATGAAGCAGCTGATGCCAGACAGGTAATGCAAGCGTGACTGAGGTTCAGTGTGCTTTCTAAAGTACTAACAGTTTTATCATCTGTTTTTTGAACCAGCAATGTAACACAAAATATCCCAATACTACGCTCTATCAATTTTTCATCATTGGTAACGGTGCGTGAATTTCTGCATGAATTTTCCAGTGAATTCATGGACTGCCGATGAGCTGTGCAGCACCTTCTCCTGCATTTCTAACTATGTGGGGATTGGACTGCCAACGCCTGACAAAAATACTCACCCATAAGCTCTGCTATTGTAAAGAAAAACGTCACTTCGGATGAATTATCAGATGTTTACTATTACGATCAACACCCGTTTCCTCGACAACTGCTCGGGAACCCTGCTGAGGATTCTGGGCTCAGAGACAAGATAAGCGCAAAATCCCATAGAGCCATAAAACACCATTATTAATCTGGACTTTTTAGGCTCCCATCCAGCTTGAGGCCCCTCTGCGTCACTGCTCCAGTCTCGCCCTGCTTGTCTCCATGCCTGTCATTCATCACTGTAACGTGGATGATGCTATCAAAACCGTTTCTGTCAAAACTCTGACAGTTGTCCCGGGAGATAAAAAGACAAAAGTCATGTTAGTTTTACAGCCACTGTCATCACCGCTCTGATGTCCTGCGCGGCAGTAAAACAAATTCCTGCGCAGCCCCACACTTCCCATGTCTCCCTGTTCACCTCGTCTTCTGCACAAAAATATGAAAAGAAACAGATATCAGTGTGCGAATGCCAGGACAGTGAGTGCACACTGCTTAAGTGCTATCTTGGCTTTGGAAATTGTGGTTTAGGAGGATTATTTGGACAGAAAGAGAGAGGGAGAGGGGGCGAGAAAGAGACAGAGGAGCTGAGTGAAAATCATAGAGAACACACATACACAAAGGGTTCTGCCTCTGCTGCCCCCCGAGCCAGAGGCATTATCTGCGAGTTGTCCACTGGAATGGCTGCAGACTGAGCTCCTGTGACGAGGTTTCAACAACCAAGACCAATTTAGTGGCAAAGCTGCTTCTCATTCTTTACAGCAGCGGGTATATCGGACTGCAGCTATAGTTACACACACAGTCTGAGTGGGCATAAGGATCGGGCCAATCTTATAACAGCCAAAGAATGAAAGGTATTTTAGTCTTTTATACTCCAAATCACTGCTATCTCTCAAAATGCTTTGCTGGCAGCTGCTGAGAATTTAAATTAAAAGGTTCATGTCCACAATACTACCCTCAATAATTTTCTAAGAGAAGGTCCCACTTTTGTTCAGATGATTGATATCTCATTTTGGAACAAATTTTATTAATATTATCTCCTTGCGGTTATTTGCACAGCTCAAGTAAAGCTCAGAATGTCTCAATTTTCAGTCTCCAAAATGTCAACAAGAAGCGAAGAAAATATGTACTTTGTCCTTGGTCCACTCTGTGAAGTAGACCTATAAAACGCCCCATCCTTTGAAGGTCCTTGGAACTGAACAGGACTGTCCCCTCCCATTGTAATTTTTTTTACTCACTTCAAAGTTCCACAGCAAACATCTTTAAAAGGAAGAAACGGCAAAAAATTCCTTTTGTGTTGGCCTCGTTGGCCTCGTTGGCCTTTCCATCCAATTACACTTGGGCACCTCAAAGACTACATGGGTTTAACAAGTCTATTCACCACATAGAAGAATGTTACATGTAGGGCAACTTTTCCTGCTTCTATAAAAGGGAAAATACTCTTAAAGGCATTTTTTTTTTCAAACTCTCACAATACAATATGCCTTGTTCATCAAAAGTGAGAACTCAACTCTAACTTTACAGACAATGCACTTCATGCTATGCACCGATATTTAGTCGGATGTTTGGGGATGATCATGGCATTTTCCTTCATGCCACCACAGGAGGGCGTATTGTTGGTGGTACACCAGCAGCAGAATATACAGTATGAGCTGAAAGACCACAGAGTCAGATCAACTGACTGACTGAAGCATTTCAGCAAGCATCTGCCCTCCTCAAGAGCCAATAAGCGAGAAACTGAAACTCCAGCAGTACAGTAGTGTGGGCTGCAAAGAAGAAGGGAATTTGTACAGGGATTTTCTTCACACTTTCATTTTAGTCTTCTGTAGTCATCCTTAGGGCTGCAACTAAAAATTATTAAAATTATTGATTTGTCTGGTGAATATTTTCTCAAATAATCGATTAATCATTTTATCTTTAAAACGTCGGAAAGAGTTAAAAAGGCAATTATAATTTCCCACAGCCCAATGTGACAGAACCCAAATATATTCAGTTTACGTCCATAAGACAAACAGTAAATTGTTGTCAAAAGTTGGAACCAATAGTTTGTTTTTTTTGTTTGTTTTTTTTTTAGCATTTTTGCTTTAATAGCGACTGAAATGATGAGCCAGTATTTCAAATAGTTGCTCATTAATTCTCTGTCGATCAATTAATGAATTAATCGACTAATCCTTCCAGCTCTAGTCAGTTTTATATTGCCAAATACATTCAATAACATATTTTTTGGTAACTTCCAATGAAAAACATGATTTCATGTTATTTTTATACTTATAACAATAAAATATAGAATCAAGTATCGCATGATGATGAAGTCATGTGCAGTTATTTGGTGCCAAAAATGAATTCATTAGGGTTGACAATGGCAGAGAGATATGTATAAATGTAGGCTAATTCTACATGTAAAATCCATAGAAGTTGACTTTTGGGGCACTTGGTGGCATGGCTGTACCCAGAAGGTCACAGGTTCGATCCCACAACATGCAGTGCTGGTGCTGGCTTCCCCTCTTAGTCAGAAGCAGCAAAAACACCAAATCCAAATTCAGATATAACTTTACCTGTTGTGACCAGAGAGAGAGAGAGAGAGAGAGAGAGAGAGAAAAAGAGAGAGAGAGAGAGAGAGAGAGAGAGAGAGAGAGAAAGAGAGAGAGAGAGAGAGAGTTTAGGCGGAGGGAGAGGGAGAGGGAGAGAGAGAGAGAGGGAGGGGGGCACTGTCTCCCACACTTCCACACTTCCAATGCCACAACAGTCTCACTTTTGGAGACGTGAGCAGCACGTATCGGACATCCGGAACCCCAGCTGACCCCCCCTCCCCCTCCCCTCTTCTCTCTTTCCCACCCAGTCCTCTATGAGCCCAGGTGGCAGAGCGCACTTCGGCCGAGGGATGCAGCCTCTCATCTCCAGCACATGGACAGCGGAGCTTGGAGCTGTCGCAGCGCGCCACGGCTGCACTAGCTGAAGACACCACCTCTCTACAGCGCAAAGAAGAGACGACACTCCTGCGTTGGAGCTCTTGGACTGCAGATAAAAGGATATATTTGTTCACACCTCACCCTCCTTTCTTTTTTTTCTTTTTTTTTTCTTCTTCTTCATCTGTTTTCCAAACCGCAAGAGTGCAGCACAAGTGGTGTTCAATGCGCAACCATGCTCATCATCTCGTCTCGCAGTGCGCTGCTGTCCGTCTACTACCCACAGATCTTCCTCATCCTCACCAGCGGTAGCTACCTGTAGGTTTCTTATCAATGCACTTGCTCAGTTTAATCATCACTTAGTTTGATTTGAAGCTCACCTGACATGTGCAGGTGGCTGTTGCTTACGCGCAAAATCAAATGGCCAATTACGCACCGGGAGACTGGATAGTCAGGTTAGATCGCACGTAGAAAGCATAATATGGTTGTTGCGGGGGTTTAACATGTTTGTACACTTTAAAAATCCAGCTTTTAACTTTGCTAAATGAAGTATATGGATTTTTTTTCTTTTTTTCTTGTGGTTACATTTGGTTCTGGCGTGGCAGAGAGATGGATGGAAACGGAAAAAATGTAACTTGGAATATCCACTCAGCCAAAACTTAGGAAACATTGGTAGGAAGCGCGTGACTTGTGTCGTTCAATCAACTTCATTTTATTCCACAATGGAATCATAGACTACCACGGAACAAGGGCTGCAGGTTTTTCCCTATAATATGCGCAGTTATGTCATTTTCATTCTAATATTGTGCCATAAATCGACGGCTTATAAAAAGTGACTGAAGATTTGGGTGAATGAAGCCAATATTTAATCTACATGATTTTTACATGTTCTAATATGCCAGCAGCTGATGAGATAACCTGCTCTTATGGATTTACACATTACACCAGAGCCACTCTGTCATGGGAGCACCTGGTCAGACAAGTGGAATATGAAAGCAGCATATGGGAAAAAAGTAATATTGGACAACTTCATGGTCTCCCTATAGGAGCAGGCCAATGTAATGAGCTCTTTCTTATGACATTAAAAGACCCAGGCCCTCACAAAGAGACTGATTGCTGCACCATACATGCTTCTCATTCATAACAAGGGCAGGTCCTGAAACCTAAAATAGCTGTGGTGGTTCATGTTTTCTGTAACAGAGAGGGAGAGAGGGGCAGACAGAAATGAACTGGATTTAGTCCCATTTCTATAATTAACTATTGTTCTCTTTCATGTCTTTATGAAGGTCCATAAAATTACCCATGATGTGATCTGGGGTAAGGATGAATGATGCAGAGTATGCTCTCACTGTATCTTCTGATTTGGTCTTGTTTATCTTCATGGCGTATACACTGGCAACTGAAATGAAAAGTTTAGAAAAACATTTGTTTTTTGGAAACAAATGTTATCACTTTTTTTTTTTTCTTTGCTCAAATCATAATCAACTATCAACTAGGACACAGAGTTAAATCCAAACTATTTATTGAGTATGTTCAAAGGTAAATCTTTGTTTTTCCATTTCTTCTTCTGTTCTCCCTTCAGTGTTGTCTATATGTCCTTGTAAAAAACTGTAGCTGTTCTTTCCTCTGTCATTAATCTCCCTCTCTCTGTGCCTATAGGGCGCTGTCCTCTGTGGTGGCTCTGGGTGCAAACATCATCTGCAACAAGATACCGGGACTGGCCCCCCGTCAGAGGGCCCTCTGTCAGACTCGCCCCGACGCCATCATTGTCATCGGCGAAGGCGCCCAGCTGGGAATCAATGAGTGTCAGTACCAGTTCCGCTACGGCCGGTGGAACTGCTCAGCCCTGGGCGAGAGGACTGTCTTTGGACAAGAGCTGAGAGTAGGTCAGTCTGTTTAAAACTCAGTTTTCTTTAAGGAGATTTAAATGGTTTTACCTCAATATAGGCAGTAGGACATCAGCAAAATGGACTGAGTGATGGTAAGAAAGTTGCTCTGAGAGCAGAGGTTTTAAATAAAGTTTTTGTGAGGTAAATCTTTTTGTTTTCACCATTGTTGGTGATTTTAAAAGTATATAGATGACAGGAAATGAGGACAGAAAGATGGGAAATGACTTGCAATAAAAGGTTCTCAGCTGGAATCAAACTTGAGATGTTGCGGTTCATGGTTAGGCCCTTAAACCCCTCGGCCATAGAGATGCACCAGGGGCAAAACTGGTTTTTACCTTTGTAAACACTAGCTAAAGTGAATCCTAGTGCTGTACACAGACATCTCACAACTGTCAGACAGAACAAACTAAATGAGATGCAACAAGTGGGACAACAGGTATGTTAACTGGAGTATCTAAGGAAAAACTGAGCTGTGTGGCCTGATTTCCCGATCACTGAAATTGGGCAGTGAAATTGAGCACTTCAGGTGCCATTCAGCTGTGTGCTTTGACATGAGCCTGTCCTCTCATTCGTATTGTATTGTCCTCAGAGCTCTTGTAAATCTCGTCAAAAACTGCAGCATAGCTCAACTCAAGTGGCGTGAAACAAACTTTAACGAAGGCATTTCTGTTTGCCGCACAACCACAATGAATTCTTGTTAAGACACTTACAGAAAAAAGTCCAACTCAAAAGGCTTTGCTAGCGTCCCCAAAGGAGGTTCAATCTGGTTGATGTGTGGAACATCACTGTGCTTGCAACACACTGTCACAACAAAGCAGTCGTAAATGGATGGTGAAGACTTCCGTATGAAGCTTGGTCTAAGGCCTATCTGGGTGTGCCATCTTCTGAAAGTATTTATAACCACAGAAACTAACAAATCTCCCTTGTTTTAGACAACATTCTTCCCCGTTTCATTTCTCACAGAAGCCTGTTTGCTCCTAATGTGAACCTCTTATATAAATTGTATTTCAGTCCGAAATGTTTTGTTGCGGTCTTGCTGTGGGTTTGGATCCATGTTTAATCTAGCAGCTCTGGGAGCAATCACTTTCTTCTACACGGGAGACAGGCAGACAGACGTCTGGATCCCTTTATTTCTTTTGTCAGAGGAAATGTCTCTTTTCTCTTGTGGCGTGTAAACGAGTGTAGAGAGACACTTTGGGCCCAGCTTTGTTCCTCATGTCCTCTCCATGTAGATGGCTTTACCAAATAAGAATTAAGACTAAATCTAATTGGATCTGTGTAAAACCTAATTAGAGGGTTGTAACTAATAGTGTACAATGTGTCAGATTTCCGGGCATGTTGATGGATTCTTAGTAAAATCGGTCATTTTCCTCGTCCTGTTCTTGTCCATCTCTGCTGTTTTTAAAAAAAGGAAATGTAAGATAGGGCCGACCCCCCCTTGTGTCACTAATGTACCATCCGCCACTTCATTAAGCATTGAGAAAGACCAGAGAGATTCATGCTAACCACTAATTGAAGTCAGCTCCAGCAGCTGGATGGCAACAATGGAACCCTGCATGCACTGCTGTACAATCAAAACAAATCACAGTGCGAGGAGATGGCTGTTTGGCTATTGCATGCGCCTGATGCCTTGAGAAATGCTCACCATACAATATATCTGAATGGGCCGTGGATTTAGCCTGATGAGAGAAGACTTCAGAGTTTGTTATGAGTTATGGACCGGGGGAACCGCAGGCCCACTGGTTTCAGCGAGTGAGTTTGTCAGGTTGGAAGGGAGCCATTAGAATCGCCTCTACAGAGACGCCATGCATTAATACTCTGGGCTGTTGAGAACAGCGAAGGCCCAGCATTATCCTGATTGGAGGGGGAGAATATCCTGTTACCAATTGTTGTGCCAATAAATTCACTTCCCCCTCCACGCCATAAATATAAATGTGTTTATTCTGAAGTTCAAATGGTGACATACAAAAGCTTGGAAATGGGCACATCTCAGTCAAGCCTGGCCACAGATTATTTCAACATGTAACACAGCAGTATCATTTGCTGTAATAATGTGGACCGCCTAAGACAGACACAGACTGACACTTAAGCCGCGTGAGAAATTCCATTGATGAAAAACATTAAGACAGCAACTCCATGAGTGTCGATCCAGAAAAAAGCTCCTCCAGTCAGCCAGTAGATGTCACTTGTGTTTTCTTCACTATACTGATAATTGTTCTAACTGTGACTGACTACTGACGCAGATCAGAGATATCAAACACGGCAGAAAGGAAGAAATCAGTGAGTTTTTATGAGATTATATACACTCACACTCACTTACACACTCAAAAGACTACTACAATCTCTTACTGTACTTGACATCAATAAATATAGGGATTGTAAGATTATATATGTTGAGGTGAAAGTGCAAAACTAGAAGATACTACTGAGTAACAGGTACTTAATTACAATTACATACACATCATAAAACGGCTAAAGTGATTCTCTACCAACCAGTTCCTCTCCAATTCAGTGATGCACTTCAAACACTTTTTTTTTTTTTGAAGGAGAAGTCCAGCAATTAAGTACTGCACTTCAATAAGTTTGGGGGCTCACAAGACACAGTTTTTAATCTTTCCCCTTTCTGATTAAAGATTTTTATTTTTTTTGGTGAAGGCAAGCCTCTATGGCTTGACTGGCAGATCCCTCTGAATGCCATCGCTCACGCAGTCATCCTGCCGTCATCCCTAATGATCCAGTTCCGCTAATTTTACTAGTTATATCAGAAAATGACCATCCTCCAACCTAATGCACCTTTAAAGCGTTCTTGAATCCTAGCCTCACCCGAGCAAAAGAAGAGATTCATCTGCATTGTACGGGTATTCGCCCAACTGGCTTGTTAGGCAACTGCCTGGCCTTCTCAGTTGTCCTGGTGTTTGACCTGGTGTTTTGTTGAGTTGGACCAACAACACAGCAAAGACACAACAGTGTGTCCCAGCATCCAAGAACCACCCCTCTCTACCTGCACCCACACTCAACACTCTCTGTTGAGGCATGACGCGCGACTTAAGTCCCTGTCCTGAATCGAACCGTTGACATTACAGCTGTGCGCCTTAACCATTTGGCTATTGGTGCACCCCAGACAGTGTCAAGGCCCAGCACACCAATAGTCGACCCACATGTGTTTTCACTTATTTTGCCTGATTGCAAGACCTCTTCTTCTCCTTCTGTGTGACTGACACCTCTTGCACCTTGCTATTAGTTTTGTTGCATGTTTGGATGGGAGAAATTACACCATCATTCTTATTGGTTCATGAAGTTTGGAGATGTCATGTAGCTTCAGCGTTGCTACTACCTGAGCAGAGGACTAATTATCTAGGATAAGTAACAAATACCTTCATGGGTGTGCAGGGTCTTTAAAATAAGAATGGTCTAAATCTCCTGAGTTTCAGTCTCTAGGATGGGTCGAGCTCCAGAAATGTTGGATCCTACATTTCCTATTGTGCAACCAAGTGGCATCTTTTGTTTGACACACAATGTCCCTTATTTCATACCCAACATTCACAGGCTGTAGCACAAGCTTTCTGCTAAAAATATTAAGTCTCAAGCCAAGAGGACATTGTACAACTGTTTTCATGGACTGAGTAGCAGCCTCATGACAAGTAAACTGCATTTCATATGTAAAACAATGAGAGTACTTTTATTATGCTACTTTCCTCTCCAAATCAGATTTATTCAGATTCCTCTCTATTCTCTCCAGGCAGCAGGGAGGCAGCATTCACATATGCCATCACTGCAGCCGGAGTTGCCCACGCAGTGACTGCCGCTTGTAGCCAAGGCAACCTGAGCCAGTGTGGCTGTGACCGAGAGAAGCAGGGCTACCACGACCAAGAGGAGGGCTGGAAGTGGGGAGGCTGCTCAGCCGACGTTAAGTACGGCGTTGAGTTCTCTCGGCGCTTTGTAGACGCCCGAGAGATCAAGAAAAACGCCCGGCGGCTGATGAACCTGCACAACAATGAGGCAGGTCGAAAGGTAATGCAAGCAGAAATCACTTTGATAAATGCATAAAATAATATCCATCTAATCTAATTTCAGGGTTTACTGATAAAAAAAATAAAAAAAAACATCTTACAACACAGTGTAAAGGCAACGGTTACTATAAATGTTCCTAAACTGTACGAATGCTCAAATGATTAAACAAACTCCTGAGTGTTTTCATGCAAGTGTGGGTGTGTATGTGTAACAGCAATGTAAGACTTGGCAGATACAGCTGCCAAATGTGGAGTTGTGCCACAGTCCTACAGTCCATTCACTGAATTACTACACATCAAGTCAGGACAGAGGATATTATTGCAAGTCTCTCCCTCTTCCTTTCTCAGTTGCAGCACCAAAGACCACACTTCTGCACCACCGCACACACTGAACCAACCAAAGTCAAGAGTAAACACCCACCCGAGTGTGATTGCCAGTTAGGGGACAGGGATGGTGTTGCGATGAGCTCTGTCGCTCACGACTCATGTTGTCTTGTAACCAAAATGTGTCTACGTTAAAATGAGAGGTTACATTTTTTCACAGCGACATCAAACTCAAGAGAAAATAGTCACCTGTCAATTTCATCATCTGCGTCTGCGAAAATACAAATATTTTCAGATGACGCATTATAAATATATAAATTGGGTTCAAACCACAATGTAACTCTATATGTGCACGGTTGCACAACAGTTCTGGTCAGTTTTCTCGGGCTGTCACGCCATGTTGTGGTCTGAAGAAAGGTAAAGTTAATTAGAGACTACAGTTTTGGGGTATGAGTTATTTTCCCCAGGTTTTTGACATAAAGTTGGCATACTGGTTAGTGTGCTGAAAGTTGAAATAGCCGCAGAAAGCCCAGCTTACCAAAAGAGACAGATTTCAAGGCTATGCAATTACTATTAACTGTTTCAAATTCATGCTGTGGACATGTGAATTTAAAATGACACAAAGTTACAATTTCTGTGTTTCTCCCACAGAATATATTTATATATTCAGTTTATACTGACCTAACCTCTACTCTCTATGTGATCAGATCCTAGAGGAGCGAATGAAGCTGGAGTGCAAGTGTCACGGTGTATCTGGTTCCTGTACCACTAAGACCTGCTGGATCACCCTGCCAAAGTTCAGAGAGATTGGTTACCTGCTGAAGGAACGCTACAGCGAAGCAGTTCAAGTAGAACCTGTCCGGGCTTCGCGGCTCCGCCAACCCTCCTTCCTACGTCTCAAAGAGGCCCGGGGCTACCAGAAGCCCACGGACACAGACCTGGTCTACCTGGAGCGCTCGCCCAACTACTGCGAAGAGGACACAGCGACAGGAAGCACAGGGACAAGAGGCAGACTGTGCAACGGCACCTCGACCCACACAGACAGCTGTAATGTGATGTGCTGCGGACGGGGTTACAACACTCACCACTATACACGTGTGTGGCAGTGCAACTGCAAGTTCCACTGGTGCTGTTTTGTGAAGTGCAACACCTGCAGTGAGAAATCAGAGGTTTTCACCTGCAAGTAGGGAACAAGGAATTGGGGCAGCGGGAGAGGATGGGAAGACGGACAAAAGTCGAAGGTAGGGGGATACGACAAAGTGGAATTTGAAGTGAAGGACTTCAAAGTATTTATTCAACATTTTGCACATTTTGACATCCTATTTGGAATTCTTTGAAGGAAAGACATACTAGAAATGGAACATGAGGTTTGGAGTTTGGGGAAAAATAGACATGAACATTTCAGAAACACATTTGCTTGCGTACTGGTACGAAACTGTGACATGATACAAAGCATGTTGCAGGTGAAGGGATTTGATCTTCTCTTTTCGCCTCAAACAAAAGCAATATTTTGAAGACAAGATGTTGCAAAAATGTAGCTTACAGATGTCGTGCACAAGAGAGCAACAAGGACTATTGAGAAGATTTGTTACACGCTAACTGGAAGCAAAGTGCTTTGGACTGCTATGAATGACGACCGGCTCCTGATGAAGACTGAAAGATGGCAGTGGAATACGTTTAACTGTACGCTCACACTGTATTCTGTTTGAACACTGAAAATAAAACAAAATTATTTATGTAAAAAAATATCAAAACTTTCAAACTGTAAGTCTTATAAGATGGATAGCAAATTCAACTGCTTTAACATTTTTCCTCTCTTTTATGATCTTCAATTGCTACTGATACATTTCAAGCTGGGAGTAACAGATTTATAGTCACATGGAGTCACATTTTCAGCCACTAAACAGCTAAATCCCTTTTTACATTTTTTATACATTATCAGTGGTCAGTGGGGTATTTTGCTATATATTAATTCTTTTTCTTTTGCACTGACATAGTCGCATTTCTTCCTTTTTTCCATTGGACATTAGTAATTTCGGGGGTTGGTGCTGTCGAGTGCTGCTCTCATGGACATATTCCCCCTCAGGGCCCAGACCCTTTGTTACACCAAGAGCCACAGAGGCAGAAACCTCTGGCGTACTATTTTAAGCATCCAACTTGTCAGTTTCAGCGGCACTTCCAATCCTGACTGCGCTCATTGTTTTGTTTTTGGAGGGCTCTTGACTTCTGAGAAAAGCATGTAAGCCTCAGTGGACCTCCATAGAGGTGCAATCAGGTTCAGATACATCTAACATTCCCATGAACGGCAGAGACGTGGAATTCCACATCGTGGCCTCTGCTTACACAAGGCCTTCCAGCGCGGTTTAGGCCTGCCTGGGTGGATGGCATGTGCCCTAACCACACTGAAGGGGGTATGAGAGGATCAAAGGCCTCAAAGCTATTTTTGGACAGCACCCTTAATGTATTCAGAAATGTTTATTTAGGCTTTATATAACTTACAAAACAATTTGAAGAGTATATTTTTATATGAGGAACGTGGCACTTTATGTCATTTATAGATGGAAAACAAAGTCGCTATTTACCAGTGTTTTCTAATGTCATTGTATTCAGATTTGAGAGCTATAAATTATTTGGAATTTATGTCTTTGATCAAAGTTCCTAAATTGTAAATACTCCATGTGTTTTATCGAAGTAGCCCAGATTGTCTATCTCGATGCGATCCCTCACAATTCAAAGTAGCTCCTAAAAGTTGAGTGATTCATCAAAGTGTTGGAAAGTCCAGGAAATCTTGTGGAAACCACTGTCAAGTATTTGAGTAATATATGGAAGTTGCTAATACATAGTACAATGGAAGTTTGAGTAAACAACTAATTGTGCAGCTTAGATGGGAGATTTCTGTGTTTCCAGTTGTCTTAATAGCGCTTTCAGTGACAAGGAGCAACTCTTTGCTTCCTAAAAGTATAGCTATAACTTAAAATACAGATAATTTAAGTTTATTTGTTCTGTGGTTTAAACAAAGTCTGCATCACTTACAAACACGGACAGTTGTACTTTTTGTTTTTTACCAATAAAATCTGAGCATCCTTTTAAAGCCTCTTGAATTTTCTGTCATATCTGGCCTTTCATTAGCCTTATTAAAATCATTACAAAAAGCTGTTTGTCACACACAGTACTTTATTAGGCATTATGTAAACATATAATTTGACCGAAACATGAAGCATGTACTTTACACCCTGACAAAGTGTTTTTGCTTTAGGTAAATACCAAACCAGAAGGCACATATACAATGAAGTAGAGGCCTACGGCATAAACCGCTGATATGGGAAACACAAGAACTTCTGGCCTCGACTGATGTGGTATTAATGTGTTAGGAGGTGAACAGACGACCGTGGCCATGCCACCTCATTCAGCCCGGCTGACTCGCACAGCCTCTTTCCTGTGGGGCTGAAAAGCATTGCAGCCAGCCAGTCGAGCGCAAGTAACAGCTGTTTTGTTAGCTGTCTGAAATCCTGGGGACCGGAACCACATAAGCTCCCTTCACTATGCCGACGGATTGAGGGGAGAGTCCAGCCGATTGTTTCAATACATTTTGTCATTAAAAATCAGAGGCAGAGCAAACAGGGTGGAGCAGGGTGTGGGCAGGCCTGTAAAGCGCTGTATTGTTGAGGTGTCAGGACTGTTCAGCTTATCCAGCAACAGGAGAAGCAGGGAGGGATGTCATTCTGCAAACTAATGCTTCTGGTCTGATTCACTCACTCATTCATTCATGCACTCACTCTTCGAACATACACAGTTTCAGTATGCTCTCATACATCAACTACTGATCCAGTACCACTATCACTGATCAACAGAAGAAGCGTGAAAACACAGACACACACACACAGACTCTCTCACACACACACAGACTCTCTCACACACACACACACACACACACACACACACACACACACACACACACACACACACACACACACACACACACACACACACACACACACAGAGTATTTACTAAATCCCTAAAAATAAGTCTATGCAGTCTGGTAAAACTCAAATATAGCTGAGAGGAAAGAGAAGCAGTCCAAGGAGTAAAACATAAACTCAATGTTGTGAGTTTATAGATGGTTAATGATCTATGATGCGTTCCATAAGCCCTCATGCGTTTATTTATGTATAGAAATAGATTAAGAGTGAGATGATGAAGAACAAGAGTAAATTCACTAAACTATGTTGAGTATAAAACTCATTACTGTTACAGCCTTAATCCAAGAAGCATTGCAAAAGCAAAAGCAAGCAGAGCTACAGTGACAAGCTCATGCTGTATATTGTTTTTAAATTACAAAACATGCATAGTTTGTTATTAGTTTTAGTATTGCATTTAGCACTTAGATTTCATCAGATTCAAATAACATTAATGATATTATGTCACTTTAAAGTAGCAGGTATTTTAAGCATTTGAAAGAGGAAAAAAATAAAGTCTTTGTCTCCCTGGCAAAGACACCACCATTTAATTAGGTAAGGTGGTGAGGGGGTTGATTATATCATGTTTTGGTCATTCTCTGTTTCACAGTTACTGCAGAAGTCACTATGGGCCTGGAATTAAACCCCAACCCCTGCTGGTAACATCAGTGTCAGTGAATGGTGAAAAGCCCGGACACTGTGGTGCTTTTTGTCTTTGGATTAAACCACAAAGCATTAGCCTTGCCAAAAGGTACCAGCATGTGCTCGTCTATCCCAGACTCTTCATTTCCCAGACTCAGGTCAAGACAGAACAAGAGCTTCTGATATCCTGACCTCTGCCTTTGTACCAGGGGGACCCCATGGGCCTTTTGTTTGTCAAGAATACTGTACGGCCCGTCTGAGCATGAGTACTAACATTACAGAGGTAGAAAAGTACGTTATGCATACTCTTCTGATAGAAATATCTGATTTAAAAGCACTTCTCTGCTTAATATACTGGCAGTGTGGCTGTCAGTTTTTCTGGACAGGCACAAAACATGTGTTTGACAGAGGATGAGTCATTTACCCTCAAATGAAGCTTACTACTAATACTAGGTAACATTAACAATGTACTCACAATAAGAGTACATGTTCACACAAGCGCATGCACATGTACTTTATTCCCTTCCCAATTACTTCACATGAAAACCTGCTTGTGAGTTGAGGATCTCCTTTCTCCTGGCTGCTTCTCCAAGGTTTTTATGAGTCTTTCCTCACAGGTTTGAGCAGCAGGCTTCCATCTCGCTCCTCCACCAGGAAACCCAGCTCCCTGAGAGCAGAGTAGTCAGCAGGGCCACGCCGTTCCAGATCGGCAACCAGCTCCTGGTTCTGCGTATTGTGTTCTAGGAGGTTCCTGATGGCGAAGATGGCCCACTGGCTGATGACTGGAGGCATCCAGTTAAGGACAGGAACATCAGAATTTCAGTTCAAGATAATAAACTACCTTGTGGTTCTTCCTGGTACTTTTAAACATGTTTTTTAGACATTAGTTGGTTGCCCAAATGAAGAGAACATCGATGGAAAAAATAAATGTAATTTAAAAAATACTAAAAGAGCTAGTAATTAGTAACAGCTAAAGTTCATAACTCCAACAGCAAGCAGGAACTTCAAGTTTAGTCAGGTGTAAAAATTATTTGTCATGTCCCAGTATCAGCTGAAATGTCTCTACCACTTTGAACCGATTTTACTGCACCTTAAATTACAAACAAATTAATGTTTAATGCTAGACATGAGCGTGTGCAAGCAGTTGTAAAACAAGATGCATTTACAAAATAAAATTCATGAAAAACTGCATATGTAAAAAAATAAAATAATGATTAAAAAAAAAAAAAAAGAACTTAAATGTAGACTGGTGGAGAACTTAACAGTGAAACAAGCAACATATGCCAAATGTTTTCAGTGTCCAACTCAGGATGTCAAGCTCTTGAGAACCTGGTATTTTCCTCAAGTTGCTGAGTACGCAGACAGCCCAACAAACAAACGAGTTTCACAGACAGGTTATGTTTTGTGATAGAAAACATTCTCAACTCACCCCTCTCAAGTTTCATGCAGAAATCCAATAAACTTTTTTTTGTTTGACAGTCTCTCTCTGAGCAGAAACAAACGCTGACACCTACATGAAAAAAGGAGGAAGTGGTGGGCAGTGTATGTGTGTGTAAGCATATATGGGAGAAGAGCATGGGGACAAAGGCTCAGCTCAGACTATTGACCTGGTTAAAAGACAGTCTGGCACAGTGCCCTCTTTTTAGCAAACTAATACCAACTGGTAACAGGATGCCCAGCGGAGGCTGGGGACGACTCAGCGGTTGAAGCTCAGTGAATAAGAGTATATTCTATAAGGGCACTGAAAGCACATAGTATGTATACTCCCTCCAGTTCAAGGTCATGCTGGTTTACATCAGCTGATGTACTAAGTTGCAGTGGGAGCAGAATCTCCACTTACAACACAGAGTTATCACTGTGTAAAAGTAGAGCAGTGCAATCTAATGCAAACCAATACAAGAGGGCTTCAATAAAATCATGTCTCCGAAGCTTACACTGTTCTGTTTTTGTTGACAATGTGTCAAAGAGATTCAGGTGTACACCAATTTTAGAGGACATAGTGGTGTTGTTGAACTGGATTGTGTCATATTGCCCCCCCCATGTATGCGAGTGGGGGCTGATAAAACATTACAAAGACATATCAAAATGCAATCTAATACAAAAGCACCACTGTGGTCTAAATAATTACCATAGTACTGAATTAATGTCTCTCACACAGTGTCAAGAAAAACAACATTATACACAAAGCAGTTCCAGTGTACTAAACAAACTCGACTTGAACGCTTCTCAAGACAAAAAGTAGCATTTACAGGCAGCCCAAATGACTAACACTGAATGCATCCCATCAGTTGACACTGTTGACCAGCTGCAGGCAAAGATGAATTGAAAGGTGGTGAACAAGGTTATGTTCAAATTTCAGCACGTTTGGTTGGCGAGCCTGCTCACACTGCAGTAATTAAAGCTTGATGTTATTTTTGGTCGCAAACTCACCAACCTTCCTGTGTAAACATGCCAAATCCAATCCTAAAAGTGCCAGAACACAAGACACGATGACTAAAATGACTTCTAAGCATAAATATGAACAATGAACAAACTTGCAATATATGTACATAGACACAGATGTGTCTGTATTTCCAGATCAGAAAAAGGATACATGGGTTGTTGCTGTCAATGTTGCAGTTGTCCAAGATGAGGGGAATGCCTTCCAGTTCTCTAACCTGAAGAAAACAAATTCAGTGAGATGTGAGAGACTTGTATACTGGTTCATGTGGATTAAATTTTGATTTCTCATCATAGCATTTAGCATTGCTTTTTCAACAGTTATGACAAATGGACAAACTGTTATTGACAATTTCTTTTCTCAACAAAGCTTAAGTGTTTAATTATTATATTTGTATATGCCATTATTTCCTTTGTAATTTTATCACTCCATGTATCAGGCCATTCTATAATGATTGGTCTGATAAAAACGACCTTGGGACAATAGAAAACTTGAAATTACATATATGGAAAACAAAGCAAGAAAAGGAAAACAAAACTTTTGATAGGCATTTTCTAAGCAATGGGTGAGAGTTGTATTAACAGGACCAATATGTTTTGCTTTTCACCACACAGGTCTGATGTCCATGCTTTGTCCATGCTGCTGAAAAAACAAACATACCACAAGCACAGATTGCCCATTTTCTATAAAAACTGAGAAAGCTCTCATCAGTACAATTAAAACGTAGAAACGTTTCAGGGAATTGTAGGATTTGGTCAAGCAGAGCAGTCTAGCTAGAAATCACTGTTTAAAGAGAAAACAAAGTAAGTACAAATTCATTAAGGAAAGAAATTCTTTCAACACAAGTGTCCCTGTCCTTAGCAGAGCCTCAGGTCAATGCAAAAGCAGCAGTGTGGTTGTGGGTTAGTCTGCGACTGTCACAACAGGGTGATCTGCTCTGTATCATTTGTCTGATTCTATAGGCTTAATTATTGTCTTTGCTTGCTGTTGCCCTCCTCTTGCCATTGTGGTTACCCTTCAAATATATTGGTAGGAGCACCAGAACACCACCAAGTGCTGAGTTTCAGAAAATGGAAATGTCATTTCAACTGTCAAAGAAACAAAGTCGCTGACTAACACAAGCACCCAGGTCTGCGTTTTCCACTTTCAGGATGACTGTCTGAAGTTGCTTACATTATGTCCAAACCCATACAGAGATGAATAACAAGCGACTGTACCCTGACTTCAGCCCGGTGCATGCAGTTCAGTGCTTTGCATGCACATCTTAAATTACAATCTCTCCCAAAGGTGAACAGAATGACATTTGGTTTACTGGAAGAGATCTTAGTGAAAACAGATATGGGGTGATTTCTGACCACTGACAGACCACAGATCAGCATCCATAAATATTATAGTGAGGCCAGCTGAGGGTGGCCATCCCACAGGCATTCCACAAATCTGTTTCTATTAAGTAGGACTGAGTCTATAATGTGCCATAGATAGAGGCCAACTCTTCCCCATCCACTTTATTATCTGTTTTTCATGTTAATAGTGAGATGCTGACAGATGGCGATGGAGACAAACTGATAAAACACGAGGGAGGGAATGTTTCACATTTCAGAGCAAAACCAAGCTGTTGTGTTGAAAGAACTCATAAGCTTGCAGCCATAGGAACACACAGCCTCATGCTCCATTAGATATTAGACTAATTTGCGGTCCTCAGTTATTCTCAGTCCTCAGGAGATCATGTGGTTTGATACAACAGCCCATTACTAGAACCTGCACTCTAAAGATGCCAATTTAGTGTAGAGATGGGTCTGTCAAAGCAAGACCATGGGGGCCTCCCAGACCTCTCACTCTCTTCTTGACCTTTGACCCCATTGTGTTAGACTGATCAAGGTGCTCACTAAATCTTAAGAGGCCCCAGATCCCATTTAGAGGAGGGACCCAGTGGATTAGAAAAGAAAAAAATGTGATGAATAAGTGCTGATGTGGAAAAAAAGTATCACAATTTTTAAAAAATATTGTCCTGAATCACAATTAAGGTTCTCTATACATTTCCTTTCTTTGAATTCCATATTTTTTCCAAACCCTAATTTCCAGACAGAATTATAACAAATAAACAAAGGGGGAAAAAGCAGCAAATCCTCCCATTTTAAGAGACAGAAAGCAGCAAAGCTTTAACAATTTTCCTTAAAAAATGACAATTAACAGCAATTAATTATCAGAATTGTTTAGTTATTTTTCTCTTGATCAACTAACAGCTTCTGCCCTAAACTATATATTCCTTGGCTTTGTTATATTACAATGGCAGTGGGTTTTTAGCCTCAGAAAAAGCAGATTTCATGCATGTTTAAGGACCAAAGAACAAGCAAATCAAAAAAAAAAAAAAAAAAATGTTTTTCTTTCTTGACCTGAACAGAAAATCTGTGTAAAACATATTTTCAATAATTTGGGCTATGTGGGTTATGTCCAACATGTTTAACTTTAAACATATTCATTCACATCCATCCATTCCAAACCTTCTTCTGGTTGTTAGTATTGCTGTGACAGAGGTTTCCTATCAGCCGGATGAGGTGAGCCTTGAAGCTGATGACAGGGGAATGGGAAGAAAAGTCTCCATCTCCACTGAAGGAGGAGAAGTTCTGAGCAGCGCTGAAAATATTCTTACTGGCCTTCCCTATGGCATGTACCTGCGCCAGGAGCTCTGCAGTGAACAGGTAAAGGGTGAAAAGCAGAAAAGGTAGAAAAAGAGAAAAAAAGACATTTAATTTATCCCAAGTTTAAACCATTTCAGCTAATTACAGATTATGATGGAATTTCATTTCTAGATAAATTTACTTTAAACATGTTGTTTAAGTACCCAATGAAATAATTTGCGCCAAACTTATCTGTATTTGAACTCTGTTGTGTCTTTTATTGCCTGTCAGCATGGAGGAGGATTGTGTGCAGGAATTGCATTTCTGTGGGTGATTTGATGAGAATCTGGATCTTGCGCAGCACCACTTAAAAAGTGCCTATGGTGTGCAGATGACATATTTACCCTAAGACAGCCAATTCTGACCAACAGACTCCAGTTGTGGACCCGGTCAGTGAGGTTATGTGAGTGTGTGTTTTCATTTACCAACAGTGGTCACTAGAAGGTCAGGGTGGTCCTGTAGGAACATGAACTGCCTGTGGTCTGAGGTCATCTCACACAGAACGTCCAGCAGACTAATCACTGTCAGTGCCTCCTGCAGGACCTACAGGGGATTACAACCAACAGGTGTCAGTCACACAAAGAAAGGATGCGAGATAATGCTATGGGGAAATCATGCTCTTTGGCAGTGTTAGTCTCAGTCTATTCCCCATTTTTAAAAAATGAGAATGTGGACTTCTAAAATACAACTGAAAAAATGTTTGCCAAAAGTTTCACATAGTCCAAGTACCTCATCACTGGAAGCAGAACCTGTGGCAAGTGTAAGCACAGCTCCACAACCTTTCTGGAAGGAATTAGCCAGGAAACGAGCCACGCTGGGTGGGATGCCACACTCCTCTGAGTCCTCCTCTCTTAGTTGGGCAAAGAGCAGCTCTAGCAGAGTAAGTCTGTAAAACACAAATCCGTTAGACACATCTAGATTATCTTTCACTATTAAACATCAGTCTTCTCTATCTGTACTAGGTAGTATTCTGTGACATAACTTTTCTGGGTATATCACTGGTTATTCTACAATATCAGAATCAGAACCACTAAAATCCTTAGTCTGGATTCAGGACAGTCCTTTAATAGTGATTTAATAAAAACTGTCTTTATCAGCACGTCACTTTCTGTAAGAGCTATAGGTCCATCATGACATCTTATTCATCTTTGTGCATCTGTCTGTCACAATACTAAAAGTAAAGTACCTTTCATGGTGAGACATCCCTGAGTACATGCTCTCCACCAGAGCTGAAGACTTGAGGAAATGTTGGGTTGCAATGAGAACCCTGTAAATTCATAAATACACCATGAAAACCTTATTAGTAAGTAGTAGAAAACAAGTAATACCTTGAAATGACACACAAACTATAAACTCTTTGCACATAGAAACTAATAATTGTATTGCATGCACCATTACAGACACAAACACTTACGTCCAGTCCAGGTCAGGCTGAGTCCTACAGAGCTCCATCACCCTGAGTGCAAGCTCAATGTTGTGGGGCTCAGACAGCTCTTCCACCTTGGCTTCATCCAGACATGTGTGGAGTACCATAGAGGCGTAGTTCACCGTCTTCTCATCATCAGCACTGAGCAGCTGCCTGTTCATACATGACTGGGTTGACTCATTGTAAGGACAAAAATTTATAATAAAAGAAGCATAGTTTAAACTATAATTCAAGTAGTTGTGTAAAATAGTGTTGTTTACTGATGTAAAAACATAGCTACTATTGTGTCAAACACACAACTTACAGGAGAAGATTTGGGAAGCTCAGCTGCCAGATGTCGTCTTTACACATTTGGTTTCCCACAGCTAAGTTACCGAGGAATTGGATCCCACAACGGAGAGCTGGACGACATGGTATAATTTAGATGAATGGGTTAATATTAAAAAAGGTTCTATTTAAAGATGATCAGATTTAATTAGGGATTATTCAGGACTTACGTTCAAATATGCCATCTCTGCACTCCAAATTTATGTTATGAAGGAAGCCCAGAACTTTAAGGGAAACATCCATAAAACCAAGCTCCCTAAATGAAAAATAGTATTAGATTATCTTGAATTTACTGTATGTTCAGTTGCCTCTTCATTTATTTTTTTGTCGAAGAAGATAAAGGCAGGTGGACATAATAATACAACATATATAACGCAACTTTATGCAATAGCAATGTAATAAAGTCAACATATCACATTGAATTCATATTGTGTCATAGTCTATGGTATTTTTTGAGACCATACCATTATTGGTCAAACAAATTACATGCCAATTATTTAACTAAGAATTTCTGTAGCTGAAGACCCCCCTGACATTCTATTATTCTTTCCCCACCATCTCAATAACACAGCACTGTATCTGGAATTACCTGAGCAGACTCTGGTTGCGTGTGCTCTGGACGCAAGAGTTCCTCTGGGCCCTGAAGCACTCAGCAATCAACTGCAGCTGCAGGGGGACAGACTCACTGTCCTTGTTGGCAGTCTGCAGCTCATCACTGAGTCTGGTCAGGACCTCCAGGAGACGGGAGAACGCCTGCTCCTCCACGGCATCCCTGAGAACACAAAGTTGACCAACAAAGACAATCAATGAAATGTGGAGTGAAATTAAGTTGAAGAGACCCTTTTCACAGTAGGCACAGGTGTGGCTAATAACACTGTTAATTGCTACTTCGAGCTTCAATAATTGCTTGGACAACAGTATATTTAACTATATTAGTTCCACCTGTGCTTTTACGGCTATGACAATTCAAAATGTCTGCTCTGAAAATGTAATTGAAAATATCTGTCGTCATTGTTAGTGTGCAGCAGAAGAGCCTCATTGCTTTTGTGTTTAAAAACTGCGGCAGTCATATTGCTGGATATACTTCTAAACCAACATTTTAGTGATAAAGTAACAGAATTAAATTGGCCTGAATAACGGTAGATAATGGACCATTCCGCTTATATTTGACAGTACGTAGTTAACGGCTGGACTTCAGGCTAGCTTAGCCGGTAAGCTAACACCCTCGGTTTCCGTTTAAAAAGGCAGTAAATTACTTTGTCCGCACCTGTATTCCCTGTCCCGTAACGCAGTCGTGAATGTTTTCAAAGTTTGCAAGTGCTCAGGGCAGTGTTTTTCATTCAAAATGCCAGCGATAGACGCTGAGAGGTCCAGGTTGATGTTGGTGACTGCTGCCATGTTTCCCTTCTTCATGCGTGTGGGCGGGACGTCCGGAAGAATCTCTAACACACTATTGGTTCAATCCAGGGCGAAGGCGGAGTCAGAGCATGTGCTGCTGTTTTCACACAGCTCCTTGCCTAAACTGCTGTCAGAGAGCAGGAGTGGAACATGTAATACTCGAAGTAGGAAGAAATTAGATGATATTGTTATTATTTTGGTAGTAAGGGGGTTAAAGCACTTTATTTGGTCAAAAATGAGTTGATTAACCCCTGCTAACTCCCCTTCCATTTCTGAGCAGTGTGCAATACTACCTGGCCCCATGTTATATTTCTAATAATAATCCGTAATAGCTCTGTAATTTGATCAAACACACATCCAAGTGCATTAGATGAACACTAGATGCATAAAACATAATACATTAAACATGTAATCAAATAATGTAAGACATATACTAAAATTTACCACATAAGCCACAGTAAAAGAAAATTACATTTATTGACAGTATAACATAAACTTGGAGTACATCCAGCCCTCATCATTCAACAATATCATCGCATTATCATCATTGCTCGTGCTATATTTAGTCATGCCCCATAATATTCTGCCCAATAATTTCTGAGATATAAGTGTTCTTCAGGCTGTAAATTGCAGCTGCACCCACATCTTAAATCAGTTCACCCAAAGCAATGTTTAATAGGTCTGAAGCTGAGACAAGTTGTGGGACAATTGTTGCAGCTGCAACAACAAAGCCACAGGACAGGCCTCTGGGATTTCCATGTAGTGTGGCGAATTTTCGATTACAGGATTTTCCTCCATAAGGTTGTCGCCTGTGTTTTCACTGGCTAGGCACAGCACAGCAGTGGTGAAAGACAGATCGATGTGGAAGAGAGTAGATTATGGATGGTAAGAGGTATCCACCTCAAGCAATTTGTCAGCTTTAAGATGAGGTACTCCGAGAACCAAACATTCCCAATATAGGATTCCCATCACTCATTCTTTGAGCAGAATAACTGGAAATATCCTCACAAACTGGAAGTGGTAAGGTATGATGGGGAATCGGAAGGGTTTCAGTTACAGGAAAAACAGGACATCCTATCAGATTTTAGTTATTCTGGAAACCTCAGTTATTCTAACTAGACGACGGCTGGTTTAGTCTGCAGTGGAAGCTCTCCTCAGTGCAAAACATGAACACAAATAACTGCGCCATGTCTGTATTATTCACAGATGGTCGAGCAGCCTGATGGTACAAAACAAAGTCGGTGTTGAAAGCAAGTCCATGGACGAATCATTTTATTTTCAAATGAAGCATGTTACATCTGGCGTGTCAAAACAGATGAAATGGAGCAAACATCAAACGGCTCTAGTCTATCATAGTGGCACTTACGACAACAAAGTCTGAATTCAAATTAAACACAGAACACAGTGGTTAAGGAGATGAGAGCTGGCTATTGCCTTGTTAATCTATGACTCTATTTAATTCCACTCTTATAAAAGGCATGTAACGTTCAACATTTCTGGGTTAGATGTATCATTTGAGAAATTTGTCTGTTTTGCTGCTTGAAAAATAACTTTTTAACCATGCTGGCAACGTGGCTCTATGGACGGCAATGTTGGAATGGTCGGTTGCACCATTAGTTTGGTCCACACTGAAATTTCTTAACAGCTGTTGCCTGTTCCTCAGAGGATGAATCTCCCTGACTTTTCCTCTAGCACCACCAGCAGGTTAACATTTTATTTTTTTTGTGATACTATCTTTTGAGTATGTCTTATTTTTTAATCTGTATGAATTGCGTTGAAATGACAAATACCTGTTGTAAACTAATGACCCGGATGGGATGGAAACTGCCGCTGTTAACTTGATTCGGTGCATCTGTGCTTGAAATCCTGCAAGCAACTTCATTAACCTTTGAGGCTTTTTTGTTAAATGTACAGCACAATAAACATGGCATCTCCAAATATTCAAACCTATACTTAAATAATAGTTGCCAAGTCATGTGTTGTATTGCTAATGCAGTATTTTCATCGCCTTCCTACCTCAGCTCAGAACCAGAACTCAGAGATAAAGACGTGGACCATGACAACGTTGCGATGGGAAATGACCCCTGACTTGACATAATTCATAGACACCTCCAACACAAGATCCCTGGGGCCAATGATAGGTTTCACCTGCTGAACAACACCTGAGGGGGGGGAGACACAGATCGAGATTAGTCACTCAAATTCAGTTTTCGCATAGATATACGAGAAGTAAATGATACGATAGTCCATAATAAGGGATGTGGTACGAGACTGACTGGCTGGTTGGTTCATAGTGATACTCTCTCCTCTTACCCATAATCAAGCCCTGGTGGGAGCGCTTCACCACGTCAAAGGAGAACTGCTCATCTGCAGCCACGATTTCAAAGAGAACATCGGTTGCGCCAGGGAGAAGAGCAGGGTTAGCCGCCACAGTTGTCCGCAGGAAAACTATTTCTGTTGGAAGAATCGGTTTGAAGTTTTTATTAGTCTGATAGAAGAAAACCACGGAGCGCAATCAGCTCTTCAAATCAGACATTTCCGCCACCATTAGACAATTGTTTTGTGGGTTGAAATGTGTAATTGAATCTCATGTGCTGCAGGTTGGTGGGCGGAAAGTTGTGTTTCATTGAGGCTGCAAACGATTTTAGAATTTGCTATGACAAGCTACTGAGTTAAATAATATAATACAGAATCCTAGAACAAATTCACACTGTCATCATAGACAAAAAAGGCACATTTCATACAATCATCACAAAGAATCACGTATGCAGCATGTTACAGCGTAGCCATCAGAAAGCTGCTTCTAAGAATTTTATTTCATTCCACTTCATCCTACCCTCTGGTCCATCGAAGTCTCTGAAGGTTGGCAGAGAGAGGACGGTGTGGGTGATGAGGTGGACGGGGTCCAGAGCACAGCCGATGTTGTTAGGTTGGCAGGCCTTAATACAACGCAAACCAGCTGAGACATCAGGTCTGGATCTGAGGGACAGACGGCCGTGATAAAAAAAAAAGAAAAAAGAAGAAGTAGTATGGAAGAGTTGAAAAAACAGGATTTATGACATGTGGCAAAAGAAGAAGAATACAGAAAATACGGATAAACACAATCTATACCCATGTACGGCAGCAATGTAAGAAAAACATTTGACCAAAACTGCACAGTTGAGTTGAGCAAGAAGAAACCTGGCAACACCTGAATAGCCCCATAGACCTCTATGGTTAACCAGGCGATGAGTGCCCTAAAAAGAGGCCAAACCCTGACTCCAAACCATGGAATCATATTTGTGAGGGTTCCCCAGTGTGAAGACAGTAGCGCTTTCAAACGTAACCTCAAAAACTGCTGCAAGAGCAGAGCCATGTAATTAGCAGCGAGCAGGTGAGTCCAAGTCGTTCGCTAAAAGCCGGACGCCAAAGCCACAGAGATGATTGTGTGGTATTACACACCAGTGAAATGCCAACCCAGCACAGGGTGTGTAAGAATGAATGTCATTTGATTTGGTTCAATGACATCACATTCACATTATAGGAGAAGGAAAAACAGTTTGACATAATCAGCAACAGAATCTGCAGAGATGCATCTGCAAATGACTGTATACACTTTCCAAAAAAGATACTATTAGTATCATTATAAAGCATTTCACTATTTCTACATGTATAAAATAATTCACTTTGCATTTTTTGGAAAAACAGGTGGTTATATAATCCAAAGATCTGGAAGAATTACAGCCACATATATTTCATATCTTTGCGTTTTCAATCAGCTCTATATGCAGCAAACCCAAAAAAACCACCAGGAGGAAAGTGGAACAGTGGAAAACACAGCTACTAGACTTTTGGTATCATTTACAGCAAATTAACTGATAACCACCCAATACCAACACTAGAAGCACCATCCATCATATGTGCTGTAATGCCGCTGCACCACTAATTGAGCCCCCATGCTGGCTGGGCCCCAGGTGCCCATAAATAAGTGCCACGCTTATTTTTCTTTCTTGTCCGCTAAGGCGAGGTCTGTTTGATCCTATGGTGAGGCCGCTTGGAACAGATCGTAGGAAAAATTGGTTTCTACATTAAAAAATGACCACAGCGGACGAAGCACGAGAGTAGTGGCAGAAACCATTGGCGGTGTGTGTATGTGTGCTCAGATATTAAAGAGTGAAAAGCCATTTTTATCTGTCACTTTTTAATTCCAAACACATAGAAAGTACAAATAAAGGGAAGCTGCCGCAGAGACATGAGGTAGGACTTAATGCATATGAACAATATTGACACAGTGTTGTAGAGATCTTCTGCAGTTAATGAGCCCCATCTAGTGGTACGTGAAATGTCCTAGTATCCCAAATAACAACTGCTCCATCATTTCCTAGAATAAATAAAACAGCTGAATTTCCTACTTTCCATCCAGAGCATAATGGCAGTTAATGAGAGACAATTTCACAGGCCCCATGTGGTCCAAAAAATGATGAGCTGGAATAGGAAAAACAGGGTATGTAACAAATGGATACTGAGAAATAAGAGAGAGCGGTTAATTTAGTAATAAAATGAACTCATTTTTTAAATAAACTACGCAAATTCACTAAAACAGACTTCTGTAGCGTCATGTTTGAGTATATTAAGAAGTGTTTTTGGCAGAATTATAGATTTGTTGCTTATTAACTGCAATAAAGGGTGGATGGAAAGCCGGAGCTATAAAGGAAAGGATGGATGAAAATGAAAACCATACATCAGTGGTGAATACAAAACGGGAAGTATCCCTTTCGGTTTCACAAGGACTGTTAATATGGCGATGTTCTCGAGGGTCGGATGGGCTGCTCGTGTGTGACAAACACAGCAATCTTGGCCATGTACAGATGCGCCGTTCCATAACGAATCAGCCTCATCTCCACGGTGAGAAAGAAGTCCCGGGGCTCAGACAAGACGCGGCGCAGTGAGATCACTCCCCCGTGGGCCTGCTGCTGCGCGATGAAGTATCCCTCCTCGTCTCCGGACACCACGTTCAACAGCATCTGGTCTCC